ACACACACATATATATATATATATATATATATATATATATATATATATATATATATATATATATATACATGTGCGTGTGTGTGTCCAATTGTTAGATTAAAATTTCAACCGTTGTACCTTAGAAATTAATAAATATATCATTATGGAATTCTCCGAGGTTTTTATAACATTATTGGACCCTATTTTGTGCAATAAGAATACATTTAACTCTAAGTTGAAATGATGATCCCTCTTCTTGTTGTGACCTCCTGATCCAGTGTTCCTCTCTACTTGCCCTTCTTATTCACTGTTCTCTTGATGGTTCTTAAAAGGACATTGAAGATGGAGGCCAGTGTATGAATGTTGGTATTGGCACCTCCAATATATCTTGATGTCAAGGGCTTGGCAACTGATCACCCCTTTGACCAATCTTTTATAAGACAGTGATATGACTGTAAGCCTATTACATTTGTACCAATTTGATAACTGAAAAGTGACTGAGGTTTATATAACTAAATTAAGATTTATGACCTGTAATCTATGTACGTATCTATGTATTTATAACCTATAATTTATGTGCCTTATATAACTATGTACCTGATATAACTATTTATGGCCTATAATCTATGTACTTTATATAACTAGATTAAGATTATATAACTAGATTAAAATTTATGACCTATAATCTATGTACCTTAGAAATTATTAAATGTATCTTAATGGAATTCTCCGAGGTTTTTATAACATTATTGGACTCTATTTTGTGCAATAAGAATGTATTTAAAGTTGAAATGATGAATTCTCTTCCTCTTGTGACCTCCTGATCCAGTTTTCCTTTCTACTGTTCCCTCTTTTTTAAACTTATTCACCATTCTCTTGATGGTTCTTGAATGGACTTTGAAGATGGAGGCCAGAGTATGAATGTTGGTAGCATTACTGAAGGCATGAATGATCATTTTCCTCTCAGCATTGCTCATTTGGGAAGACATATTGGGGCAGACACAAAACAATTTCAACCTGCTCTGATTTTAGCTGAAGAACTGAAAGGGGTGTTTTAGTTATTCTTACGAAAAATGGTGTCAAGATGGCTAAAACTCTTATCCAAAAACCTCTAAAAATAAAATCAATTTGTTAAGTCGTGTTTTGGAATATAGTGTCTGCGTGTGATAAATATCTGATGAAATCACGGATGACGCAATATTTTTCAAGACCAAACACTTTTCAACATGCACCCCGAAAATAGATTCATATTAATGCACACCACTGCAAATGACCTAATCCGAGGAAAAAAATAGAAATCGATTACACACTGTCACTCCAGTGGGTCTAAAACTGACCGTATGTTGAAAGAAAGGAAACTAAAGTGGTTGCTTGAAATAATTTTCACAAGGGTGTACTTTTCAGATTTCTCTAACACATCTAATGATGTGCTATATATCTTCTTCGGGATGGTGCTGGGTTTATTGGCAGAGAATCGATACCATTTGCCGGTCAGCAAACGATACTCGTATACCGAGAGTTACTCTACCATTACTGCTTGGGTATTTATATAGTCTATGCATTAACTATACTAATTAGGCAGTCATTTACGCATCACTACAGGTGCAGAAGTACATACTCTAATTTTAGATCTCGTGTATGATGCGATCTCCTTAAAATTAGCTTCAAAATTAGGTCTTCAAAAGTCGCCTGATACGCGAATATATAAGATGTATATCTATTTTTTTATCTACCTTTTAATCTAAGATCAATGCAAAATAACACAACACATCCTTGACTGTGTTAGAGAAATCTGAGAAGTAGTTGCTTATCTCGTTATTAACTGTAACATCCGTCAATTGCAGCATTTACAAATTCTGAGGCTAGAAAATTATTTTTGACATATGCCTTGATTTTAAGAAGTTCGATATAACAGTGTTTAAGACATGTCGACACTGGTTAAATGATGTCCAAATCAGTGTTTTTTTTTTTATTTTATTTTATTTCATTTTATTTTTAGTTATATTTTCACTTATTTCTTGTTTGTATTCTGGCAATTCTCGTTTGAAAGAAATCTCGCGGCCACGAGACATTGACATCCGGTTCCTGAAAGTTTTTCATCTTCATTGTTTTTAACAGTAGAAGAAAGAAAACTTAGCAGGAAGCCATATTTAAACACATTTGCTTGATTTGTGGATATATAAATAACAGACGTTTTTATTTGAGTCTAAATAAGCAATTACTTGACCCGGAAATATGTAAATATTGGTCGATTTTATTTGTGTCTGTGTGAATTTACTTTGTATGTGCCCCTGCTAGGTTAGCTGTAGTAACATTTTCTTGGCCCAGAGAGTGGTAAATATTAGTCATTTATATTTGAATTTATACGAATTTACTTCTGTTTGAGATAAGCAAATATGGATCGTTTTAATTACAACCTATAAGCGTTTACTTGCTTGAGGGGGGGGTAAATATTTTTTTACTTGTTTCCGATATAGATAAATATTGTTATTTTTTCTTTGAGTCTATAACCAGTTAATTTGTAAGGCAATTAGGACGACGTATTGAGTTCGCTTCTCACGGGGTGCCCCACACTTTTGGCCATGTGCCACATCTAAGCTACGATTAGAAAATCATTTAAGTACCTCATCATGCTGTAAGTGTTTGCAGGCTTGTCTCGCTAGAACAATTACGACTGAATAATGATTTCACTCCTCACCGGGTGCTCCACGTTTTTGGCCTTGTGCCACATCTAGACTACGCGTGGCTATCCGCTTGAGCACCGCTACCTGGTGTAATGGTTAACAGGCTTGTCCTCTCCAAATTTACAAAAAATGAATTTAATAATCATTTTTTGTATCAGTGAAATGTAAATAATGCAGGTTTATATTTGAACCTGTAAGCCTTTCGTTGGTTGGGGGATAAATATACATTGGCCATTTGTATATCCGTTTATCTCGCGAGATAAAGTCAGCGACCTGTTAGGCTCCATTTACATTGTTCGGACTATCGCCCTCATCTTTGTTGCCATATTTATCACAACGCTTCGGCCGTTGTACGCCTCGGCCTTCTTCAGGTGGTTGGAATGTCGAACAGCCCTTTATTTCGCTTGCTGGGGTAGAGTGCTCTAGTTCCACGTGCCATGTCTAATAGATGCCAGTTATCTCCCGTTAATTCCCCTCTAAAAGTTCTCCGCCGACTTAACCAGGTTTGAACTCAAACACTTTGGGTCCTGTCACTAAGAGGAAATAATTGATATCCATTATGCACGTGGAACTAGAACAGTCTACCCCAGCAAGCGAATTAAAGGTTCACATCGATATTCCAACCACCTGAAGAAGGCCGGAGCGTACAATGGCCGAAACGTTGTGATAAATATGGCAACAAAGATCAGGACGATAGTCCGAACAATGTAAATGGAGCCTTAACTGGCCGTAGCATGTCCAAGCTGGTCAGAGCTCATCTAATGTAGCCATAGCCGTGATACCACATATTTTAACACTGAAACACTGGTTGTGACAAAAGGTCGATTTTTAACGTGGGGAACAGGAGTGCGTACACTCGGGCCAAGAATAAAATTTCCCCGAGACCCCGAAACTGTCGGTTGCGCTGGCCTCAGTGCGAGCACCGATCCTTCTCTCCAGTGCAATGAGAAGTTGCAGCCTCGGGCATCTTATCCCCAGGGATCGGCGCCTCACAGTGTGATTTTCCTCAGTTGCGTCTTTGTCCTCCTACGCAGCCGCAACTGAGTCGCACTCTACCTGAAGCCAGAGGCAACTGAGAGATGATGATAAAACCTAACCAGCCTGTGTCAGATAAATAGAGATTTAAATGACCCCCCCACCTCTACTGAGTCAGGTTATGACACAAGGTCAGTTTTTAACGTGTGGACGCTAGTGTTTCCCACTCGGACCGCTGGTCTAAGGTCGTCATAGCTGGACATAGGTTGTCCAAGGTGGTCAATGGTAAGTCTAAGCAATCCATAGCCGGTCTTAGCTGGACATAGCTTGTCCAAGCTTGTCATAGCTGGTATAAGCTAGTCATAGGTGGTGTTGGCTGGTCATAGCTTGTCCAAGCTGATCATAGCTGGTCTAAGCCAGCCACAGCTGATCTTAACTGGTCGTAACTTGTCCCATCTGGCCAATGGTTGGTCTAAGCTAGTCATAGTTGGTCTTAGCTGGTCATAGCATGTCCAAGCTCGTTATAGCTTGTTTAAGCTAGTCATAGCTGATCTTAACTTGTCATAGCTTATCCAAGCTAGTCATAGCTGGTATAAGCTTGTCATAGCTTGTCTAAGCTGGTTAGAGCTGGACTAAGCTAGTTATAGCTGGTCTTGTTAGTTTGGTCTAAGTTAGCCATAAAAGGTCATAGCTTGTCCAAGCCGGTCAGAGCCCTGTCTAAGCCAGTCATAGCCGTGATATCACCTGCCTCAGTAATTATGGTAAATAAGAATTTGTTGTTTTGGTTTAAGGGATATTGGGATATGTTTGGATCAGTGATTATGTGTTGCTAAGTTTAAATATAAGGCAGATTAAAACCGGCCTCCATTTTGACCATGTGCTATATTTTTTGTCTCACGTATAAAGAAATATCATTTTGAGTTATGTTTTCCATCGCTCTTCAATAGAGAAAACTTAAAGAGATTTCGAACAGACAGGGGAGGGTATGATTAAATTTTCATAAATTGTTGTTAGAATGTTCTTAACCAAAGTGACTAGAACATTTACTTTCTTTCTCTCTTTTTTATTTTCTTTTTCTCTCCCTTTTTTACTTTTTCTTTCTTTCGTGTCCTGAAACTTTTTAATAAAATACCAATTAAGATGATTTAGAATAAATTATTTTATTAATACTTGTGCAATTTAAATTAATGTACACGTGCTTTGTGGTGTAATGACTATCGGTTCGGAAAGAAAATTCAAGGATTCGATTTCCAGTCTAGTTCATTTTTTTTAAGTGAGAAGTCGTTTAATTTTCCTTGGGGTTTATTAGAGTTCATGCCTGTCTGTGGTATGTTATTATAGCCTGTATCTTTTGAGCGTCAGATCCTATCCTAGTGTCGTTTTCATTCTCTGATATTCATCTACGGCGACGTCCAACAGGGAAAAGAATGATTTCTCACAGTTGGCGTCAATCACAAACTTTCGTGACCTCTTTTCATAAATGTGGTAGCCAATTAACATCTTTGGTCCATATCCGTCCGGGTCAAATCCTAAACTGTTTTTAGAATGTAATTATCCTTACGCTATAGAACATTCTTTCTTTCTTTCGTTCTTTCTTTCTTTCTTTTCTTTCACATCTTTCTTTCTTTTTCTTTACATCTTTCTTTCTTCTCTTTCTTCCTTTCTTTGTTTCTTTCTTTCTTATTCTTTTTCGTTACATCTTTCTTTCTTACCCTCCTCTTTCTTTCTTTTCCTTCACATATTTCTTTCTTCATTCACGTCGTCCTTCACTTCTTCCTTTCTTCTCCTTCTCTTTCTTTCTTTCTTTCTTTCTTTCTTTCTTTCTTTTCCTTCACATCTTTCTTTCTTAATTTACTTCTTCCTTCACTGCTTTCTTTCTTTCTTTCTTTCTTTTCGTTTACATATTCCTTTCTTTACCTCCTCTTTCTCAATCTCTCTTTCTTTCTTTCTTCTTTTCCTTCACAACATTCTTTCTTCTTTACTTCTTCCTTTCTTCTCATTTTCTTTCTTTCTTTCTTTCTTTCTTTCTTTTCGTTCACATCTTTTTTTCTTCCTACATTTCTTCCTTCACTTCTTCCTTTCTTCTCCTTCTCTCTCTTTCTTTTCCTTCACATCTTTCTTTCTTACTTTACTTCTTCCTTCACAGCTTTTTCTTTCTTTCTTTCTTTTCCTTCACATCTTTCTTTCTTCCTTCATTTCTTCTTTTCTTCTCATTTTCTTTCTTTCTTTCTTTGTTTCTTTCTTTTCCTTCACATCTTTCTTTCCTCTTTCACTTCGTCCTTTATTCTCCTTCTCTTTGTTTATTTGTTTGTTTATTTCTTTCTTTTCCTTCACATCTTTCTTTCCTCTTTCACTTCTTCCTTTATTCTCCTTCTCTTTGTTTATTTGTTTGTTTCTTTCTTTTCCTTCACATCTTTCATCTCACTTTCACTTCTTCCTTTATTCTCCTTCTCTTTGTTTATTTGTTTCTTTCTTTCTTTTCCTTCACATCTTTCATCTCTCTTTCACTTCTTCCTTTATTCTCCTTCTCTTTGTTTATTTGTTTCTTTCTTTCTTTTCCTTCACATCTTTCATCTCTCTTTCACTTCTTCCTTTATTCTCCTTCTCTTTGTTTTTTGTTTGTTTCATTCTTTCTTTCTTTTGCTTCACATCTTTCTTTCTTACTTTACTTCTTCCTTCACTGCTTTCTTTCTTTTTTTCTTAGTGTGTGTGTGTGTGTGTGTGTGTGTGTGTGTGTGGTACTATCTTACCAGACAGTAATTGCAACTCCCTAAATAATAAGTAAAAAAGGGCAATGTAGGAGTGTTATCTATGCACATTTGAGACATTTACTTTAAATGCTGTGTGATTTGTGGATGATATGTGAAGTTCCGCAGAAAATAATCTTTTATAGCTCTGAGATGTTGATGTTTCCAAGAACTGAAATCGCATCATTTTCCGTACCCTTCTTTATCATACTCAATGCCCCTATCACAACAGGGATAATCGTAGTTTTAAGTTTTCACAGATTTGTTACTTCGATTTGCAGGTCCATATATCAAAAATACACTGAGGTCTGCAGGGACTGCCATATCAGTAAGGAGGTACTTTTTTGTTTGCGGTCTCTAATAACGATGTCAGAGCAATTAGCTTTGATTTTTCTGTGTGTATTTTGTAGCTCCATAAAACTGTTAAAGTTCCTATCTTCCATTTTATTATTATTATTATTATTATTATTATTATTATTATTATTATTATTATTATTTCTTTAAAACCACAAAACTAAACAGAGTTTCATACTTAAAAGAACTACTTCAGCCGTTAAGAGCTCCCATATCAGTTTAAAGTCGATTCTCTGATTTAAAAAAGAAATTGTTATTTCTTCTTTGTATTTTTGCTAGTCTCGTTTGAAAGAGATCTCGCGGGCACGAGACTTTGACATCCGGTTCCTGAAACTTCTTAATCTTCGTTGTTTTTGAACGGATAAGAATAAATCAGCAGGAAGCGACATTTAAAAAAAGCCGGATGCCCCTGATACCCGGGGAAAAAACAATTTTTGTGCTAAAAAAATATAAATAAATAAATAATTAAAAAATAAATAAATAATAGAAACGAAATAGAAGACACTAGAAAAAGTAATGCGTGTAATCAGGTGGAATATTTCATTTAACATCTCCAGGTAAAGAAATAAATTTACCACAAATTTGTATAAATCACGGATTTTGGTCTAAATTCAGCAATTTGAGATAACTTGGCTGCGTTCATTAGGGCGTCGGTATAACGAAACAGACAACACGTAGGACTCGTTAAAAAGGGGTGCAGAATTAATTTCAACCCGGAACTAATTTCAACTCAGAATCAATTTCAACTCGGAACTAATTTCAACTCGGAACAAATTTCAACTCGGAACTAATTTCATCTCGGAATTAATTTCAACTCGGTACTAATTTCAACTCGGAACTAATTTAATAAATTCAAACATAACTTTATATATTTTAAGTTAAAAAAAAAACAAATTTTATTCCTCTTAGTTTCAAATTAACATTTAATTCTTTATATAACCCCAATTCAGTGTCATAAGGTTAATATCCGGGTTTAATTTTACAAAACCTCTTCACTTTAAGACTAATATATTACACCCTCCTCTGACAAATCCCGTGTGCCTTTCGTGTGACTGAAACATTGAAATGGATATATTCTCTATTAGTTTTTCGACGATTGTTATTTTTTGTATCTTTCACACATACAATATATATATATATATATATAAATATATATTAAGAAATGGACAAGGTCCGACAATTTATTTATTAAAGACATTTTTTTTTATGTTTAACGTTGTTATTTTATAGATAAAAGTATTTAAGCAAATGCTCTGTTTTTTTAACAGAGTTTATAAATTTATAAGTTTATAAGCTTATTTATAAGTTTATAAATTTATAAGCAGTAAATTCGACCTTGTCTACCGTAAGGTTCTTTGTGGCCGAGACGGTTAAGGCACGTCAGTGTATATGACGGTTCCTTATAGGATGCAGGTTCGAATCCTGTCAAAGAACGAATATTTTCTATGAAAATTTCTCGGACATTTAGGCCGGTAAATGTTATTTAATACTGTTTATCATAAACAGAGCATTTACTTAAATATTTAAATCTATATCTATAAAATAACAACGTTAAACATAAAAAAATGTCTTTAATAAATATATAAATATATATATATACACGCGAGCGCGCGTTTAACTAATATAATCCGTCGGATTAATAAATAAAAATCCAACACTTTTATATATATACCTACACAAAATTGCGCGAAAAAAACTTGTACGTGCACGAGAAAAATAAATAAAATCTTAATCACCATACCTTGTCAGTCATCTTGGTAAATTTTTGCCATTTTATTTATTTTTAATTTCGCGCATGTTCGTAGTTTGTTTTTGATTTTATCGACAGAACATTGTAGTAGGGTCAGTTGGGCATGTTGTACTGCAAGATGTTTTGAGAGTGATTGGGTGTCAATCTGAGAACATTGCAGAGGAATCGGAAAGAGTTGGACGATATATCCAGTCAACATCATGCTGTTTGGAGTGGTCACTAGTGATAGCGACGTTATGCCTCTCATCATCTTCTCACAGGACCTCATACACAACGCAGATACCTATATCAAGTGTTTTGAGGAGGTAGTGCTGCCCAGGGTCACTAGGGTGGCTGCTGAAAACATTATGTCTGGCAACAGGACTCTGCACCATGCCCCACAGGCAGAAGACTCCAGACATTGCTATCAGACAATTACTGCGATCACATTACACCTTTCATCTGGCCACCTAACTCCACAGACTGCAACCCTCTTGATTATTATATGTGGGGTGCATTTGAGCAAGAGCCCTACAAAACTCCCTGTAACACCAAAGATGAACTAAAGGTGATGATTATGGCAGCATTCACAATTTAAATAAGAAGACCGTCCAAAAGAGTTGCAGGAGATTCCGAAGTCGTCTGGAAGCTGTGGTTAAAGCCAATGGTGATTTTAGTCTTTCAAAATACTTTTGTGTCTGTAGGGTTTCTGACAAGTGTGACGTCGCCCACCCCCTGGTCGCAGCGTCGACTCTATCGTTCGATCTCGTTCGCGGCGCCAACTGTGGCGTGACGTGGTCCAGGGTTCTGGTCCTATGGTCACGACACCAGATGTGACGTCTTTGCCGCGGCGTCAGCTGTTCGCTCCTCGCTGCACCAAGTGTGACGTTCTAACCCTTTGGTTAGATGAATACCAGCCTCGCCGTTCCCAACTCGCTTCCAACGCCTGGTTACTAGGGTAACTGCACTGATCTCCGGTCTGCCTACCCTCGTTGTGATTAGATCTTAGACAGACGGGATCAAACAGGGATTGGGGCCGTATGCAAGCTGAATTCAACGGGGGTGATAACACACAAGAAAAAAAAAAAACTCACAAGGTCAAAAAATTATTGAAAAAAGGTAACAACCTTTTATATCTAAATGTTCGTTACACAAAATTATTCCTACCTCCCGATCCGTTTTGTGGACTGTGGCACCGAGCTTCTACCATACAACTTTAAGGCTTCGAGTTGCCTACTCTCTAGAAATTTGCATTTCGGGGTGTGGATTGGTTTCGACACTGGGCGCTGATCTGTACCAGTCGTTCACGGCTGATTCTTCTCGCCGTCAGTGCGCGAATCGACTTCTTCTCTTCGGCTTCGGTTGGACGAGCTTATTCACTTCGGCTTGAGTTGGGCGAATTTCTTCACTTCGACTTGGATACGCTAATTGGATACGATCTAAAAAAGGGATTTTCCTAGACATGTCGGCGTCTCTCGCGAGCTAATACAAATATTCCATTTTTCTCTGGCCGCTAATAAAATCTACATTATCTCCAAAAAGCATTTTCACTTTGGGTGGTTTTTTTTCAACCCCAGAAATTATCTGGGCTTCGTGTATTAATGTTTTGTTTTCGTATACATTTCCCCATCTGATACCTATCATCTCAATGACACCGTTTTCGTTTGTTACTTATCAATATTTTTTCATTGTCCCTAAAATTTTATTTCTTCAGCCAACTTTAACAAACTTCCATCTTCCGTGGACACGGAATTAGATCAAGTGCTTGACCTGATAATTTTGACATCTGATATGTGCCGGTCGAGCGTGTGTGTTTTCGCTTACGACCTTGTTTCGTATTATGTTTCTGTCTTTCCTTTTCTTTTTCTTTTTTATTATCTCTAAACTCCATTTCTTCAACCAATTATAACAACTTCCATTTTTCGTGGATTTCGGTCAGGTACTTTGACCTAGATATCTTTTGACACCTGTTATGTGTTAGCTAAGCGTGTGTGCTTATGACCGGGTTTTGTACCATCTACTTCTCTTTCTTTTTTTCTTTCTTTCCCTCTCTTTCTTTCCCTCAGATCGCCTAAACGCAATTAGAGAATTATTCTCAAAACCCAAATATTTCTCATCTCTAAATAACTATCAAATGGTTAACAAACCGAAAAAAATAAATCATATATTTATGAATATCTCTTTTCAGTTTTCTAATTATGCATGGTGCCACACAAGTTTGGTGAATTTAGATCGGACATAGATAATGTGTTGTAAATTATTTTTTGATAGACAGCTTTGTCCCGTATTTTAAAAGCGAATGCCAACTTAAATATAAAATAACAGTCATAAATTTCCTAAAGAGAACAGACGAGAATTCATCTTCTCGTCTAATTTTCTTTAAAGAACTCAACAGACGCTAGTTAACAATGGTTTTCCTAACCACCTCATCGACCACCAGGTTAGACTATTTCTTTCTAAAGTAGCTAACAACGACACTGAAAATACAGACAAAAACAATAATATCTTCTACAAAAGACAAATACACGTCAACTATAAACAAGCTGAATCTTCACTTAGAAATATAAAGAAATACACTTTCCCAGTTGGTGCGAACAAGAAAATTAAATTAGTAATTTATTACAAAATATTTGAAAAGCTTACCTTATCATCAAAAATAATAACGCACCTGCAAAATTTGAACGACATAGAAGCAACAATATTTACGAGTTCAAATACCCTTAAGGAACTGAGTTCCTGATTAAACTAAACTCATAAATAATTACATCGTTTACACTACTAAATGCCTATCCAGATGATGTATGTTATGCCTACTCAGCCATAGGCCCATGAAGAGTCATTTAAACAAACGCAAAAACCTACCAGACTACACCCGATACATACTAGTAGAAAATACAAGCACATTAACCTCATCGACATGTAAAAAAAGATTAAAAATAATAAAATCCTTAATAATAAAAGAAAAACACAAGCATTTAATCAGATTAACTATGAACACAGCCATGATATGCTGACCGTGTTTGGAAAATAAAACATTAGGCACATTTATAATAAAACCCATACATTTAATTAACTATAAAAATAAAATCATCCTTGATAATGACTAAAAGAATAGCCGAAAGCGCTCGATCGTGCAGAAGTTTTGGAAAATTTTTACCCACTTTGTGTCCAGAAAGGAAAAACATTTGTACGTACACAAGAAAAATTAAATAAAAACTTAATCGCAGTACCATGTCAATCGTCTTTAACGAAACACACACAACCTGTGTGTGTGTATATATATATATATATATATATATATATATATATATATATATATATATATATATGTGTGTGTGTGTGTGTGTGTGTGTGTGTGTGTGAGAGAGAGGGCGAGTGTAATAAAGATTGATTCGTCCTGTTTCATTATCAAAATATTAGATAAATTTCCTTGTGTATTTTAAACATAGTATAACATTGTAATTTTACACTAAAAATATCTAAATTAATGGAAGTTTAATCATAAAAAAAAGGAAAAGCCAACACTCAATGGCAGTAACTACGAACACGGCCAGAACGTGCTGACGGTGTTTTGAAAATAAAATATTCCTATAACTAG